GCAAGCATCATGAAATCTGAGGATTACCAAAGGATTTTGGGTCGCACTGTAGGGCCCAGTGTCAGAAAGCTGGGTTTGCGTCCAAGATCCTGGGTCTTCCAGCAGGACAATGACCCCAAACATACGTCAAAAAGCACTCAGAAATGGATGGCAAAGAAGCGCTGGAGAGTTCTGAAGTGGCCAGCAATGAGCCCAGATCTAAATCCCTTGAACACCTGTGGAGAGATCTTAAAATTGCTGTTGGAAAGGTGTCCTTCCAATAAGAGAGACCTGGAGCTGTTTGCAAAGGAAGAGTGGTCCAAAATTCCGGGTGAGAGGTGTCAGAAGCTTATTGATGGTTATAGGAAGCGACTGATTTCAGTTATGTTTTCCAAAGGGTGTGCAACCAAATATTAAGTTAAGGGTCCAATACTTTTGTCCAGCCCATTTTTGGGGTTTTGTGTGACATTATGTCATATTTGCTTTTCTGCCTCTGTTTTATATTTGTTCCAATACATACAAAGGGAATAAACATGTGTATAGCAAAACATGTGTTAATGCAATACCTTTTTTGTGTGAAATACTTGGAGGAAAAATATCAAGGGTGCCAACAATTTCGGCCATGACTGTATAACAAGTATTGTGACAAGTAAGTGGTATTACATATGTGAATAGGACAGAAGTTAAAGAGAGTTGCATTACATTAAAAAGAAATGGCAGCTCTGAAAGAATTTGGTTCCAGGACAGAAATACTTGGCACACATGAGCCACTTGTTGACCCAACAAAGATTTTTTTGCCTCCACTCCAACAAAGAATTTCTTTCCTCTGTGTCACATAAATCTTGGACTGATGAAAAATTTATGAAATCGATGAACAAGGAAGGTGATGGTTTTCGTTATGTGAGACAGATGTTTCCAAGTATAACTTATACCAAAATTAAGGAAGGCATTTTTATTGGTCCACAGATCAGATATGTTATCAATGAAAAGCGGTTCGAAGATCTGTTAGCGGGGCCAGAGGAAATCACTTGGAAAGCATTCAAGGATGTTCTTGAGAATTTTCTTGGCATCTTCAGATCACCAGACTACAAACGTCTTACAGTATACAAGACAATGAAGTACAACATGTCACTGAAGATTCATTTTTTCATTCGCACCTAGACTTCTTCCCCCAAAATCTAGGTGATGTCAGTGACGAACATGATGAAATGTTTCACTAGGACATTGCCACAATGGAAAAACAGTATCAAGACAGCAGGAGTCCATCAGTACTGGCTGACTGTTGGTGGACACTGCGGCAAGATGCACCAGACACTGAGTACAAAAGAAAATCAGCAGTAAAACATCTTGAGCCCTGTTAAACTCATGCAGCCTCTTAGAAACAGGGGATTAAATACATAATGATCATTAAATGTTAATTTCATATTTCTCAAGACTCCTACATGATACAGTTATTCAGAAATGAATGTCTGTATTCAATTCGAACATGTCTCTCAAAATCACCAAGAGTTTATCAGAAAGCAAAACTTTGAAAATATTTGCTATAGTGTTTTAGGTTGGTTTCCTAGTATCATATATGTAGTCCAGTTATTGTTCGAAATACTCTCATTGGTCCCATCACAAGCCAAGGTTGTGCCCTATATTGCCAGTCCCTCCCTTTATTTCTGGAGCGTTAATAAGAAAGTTACATCTGTTATGAATACTGTGACAGACAACCTCACATGGTCTGGGATGGGGTGTGTCTCCCAGACTTTTTTGCATTATTTGGGTAGATTAGTTGGTTGGCCATTTAGAAGTAGACGGGGGTTTAGAGCTGAACATACCTTCTCATGCCCAATTTTTAAAGTGTGGTAGTGAAAGACTCAGGTTGCAGCTCTGGCTTAGGCAGCAGGGAGGGACTGATGGACTCTAAATCTGGTGGTACAATCGAATATGGCTCGAGGTTCAGGTCTCTGTTGTCACCCATGGTAATGCTGATGCAATAAGAGTCAGCCACTAGTTACAGAAAATAATACCACTGGATGACATAGAATTCTTCTCTCCACTATCAAAAGGACAATTGAATGTGAGGCTTGGTCCTAAGAGCAGTGGGCAGGGCTGCTGGCCCCTTTCCTTTCCAGGAAATCCATGAAAGCCTACTTAGACTTTCCTATAGAAGGTGAAAGCCGAAATCCTCTGATGCCTGGGGGCTTGTGTATGTTATCAGTGCGTACCCTGCTGAACAAATTAAGTGTTCTCTGATGCAGTAACTTATTGAACTTACAAAGAAGTGTCTGGAACCAGAAGGTTTCACCATGACCCATGAGCCAGGTTGACCAAAGTTGAAATGTGTGAAATAGGGAAGTATCTGAAAACCACTGAGTGGTCGAAGTGTACAGAGAAGCCTAACACTGGGAGTGACTGGAGTGCTGACGATGTGATGAGTAGGGACATATTGCTGCAAAATGTGAAACATGACATCACCATTTACATATCGATATTTACTTGCTGAGGTTTGGCCACAAATCCAAACATGCTGAATTGTGTGGTGAAAATAAGTGCAGAAAGTCTACATGCCTTCCTACACTATGTAAACCTAGTTACCCTGGTACATACACTCTAACAGACCATGAACATTTGACCCAATGCTAAAGTACCCCACTGCCATACATTCATATGTAAGAAATTATTTACATAGTCTGGTTGAAAAAAGACACCGGTCCATCTAGCTCAACTGATAAAAAGGGAAAAAAAAAATTATGCAATCCTATATACACAATTCTATACCCACAGTTGATTCAGAGGAAGGCAAAAAAAAACCCCAGCAAAGCATGATGCAGTTTGCTCCAGCAGGGAAAAAAATTCCTTTCTGATCTCCCAAGAGCCAATTGTTTATTCCCTGGATCAACTTTATAAATGTTAGTATCTAGTTATATTATGCGCATTTAGGAAAGAATCCAGGCCTTTTTTAAAGCAATCTACTGAGCTGGCCAGAACCAGCTCTTGAGGGAGTCTATTCCACATTTATACAGCTTTTACTGTAAAGAAACCTTTCTGTATTTGGAGGTTAAATCTCTTTCCAGATGTAAAGAGTGCCCCCTTGTCCTCTGTGATGACCTTAAAGAGAATAACTCTACATCACTATATGGACCATTTATATATTTGTACGTATTGATCAAATCCCAACTTAATCTCCTTTTCTCAAGTAAGAATAAATTCAGTTCCTCTAATCTTTTCTCCTAGCTGAGCTCCTCCATGCCTCTTATCAGTTTGGTTGCCCTTTTCTGCACTTTCTCCAGTTCCCCAATATCCTTTCTGTGACATTGGGAGAATTGCCTAGTGCCACATCCCAATGCCTCATTGCCACAGTCTGCTGGCATCCTTGCAATGTTTGTTTCAGTATGTCCAAATGCCCCTGCCTCATTCCAACAAATGATGTACATTGTACAATATTCTTTGGCCTCGTCAACACTTTGCAGCAGCATCTAGTCGTTTTTAGCACATACTGGAAAAGTAACCTCCCTTATCAGCAGACCTGAAAAAATGGTGGTCCAGACCAATGCCTCACCTGTGGTCTGGACGTGTTCTATCTCAAGTGGTAGAGAAATGGTTTATTTGAGTCAAAAACTGGCACCAAGAGAAAGAAATAATAGTATTTTGGAGTGAGAGTGTCTGGCCTTTTAGTGGATTTTGGAGGCATGCTTCCTTAACATTCCAGGGAGTACAACACAAGCATTACTTGCTGGTTCCTGGCCCTTTAGGATTTTTCTTTCACAGTGGAGTACTGTGGTGGTTGTTATGTGGGTTCCCTTTCAAAGGGTCAAGGGGCATGGTCCAGGATGGACTGTATTTGTTTACGTGACTTTTTGTCACGTAAACTGGCTCCCTGTCATTTGGCTGTTCAGCAGTAGTCAGGGGGTTAATAGCTGAACACACCTTCTCACGCTTGAAGTGAGAGGCTGTGGAGAGAGAGTCTGGTCAGCACATACTCTCCAACTGTTCCTAGTACAAACAGTTCGGTAAACAGCCAGGAGGCTAACAATTTATGTTACGGTATTATGTTCAAACAATCCTTGCAAGACTGGACTGTGATGTTTATTTTGAACTAAGGACAAACAGAATGGGCAAGAACCTCTCAAATGCAACATGACCTGCAATCTGGCCGCTCACAAATGCTTTTTTTTAAAGCTGATGCAGATGGCCAGATTTGAAAATTTTCAGCACACACTGGCAAGGTTTCCCTGTCTAGAGTAAGTTTTAGTGTGTGAAAGATTGATGGCATTAGCCATCAGTGAAAACAGAGTTTGTTATAACTTTTATTGGTTAACCTGTTTGAAAAATTAAGGTCCCATGCACCCAGGGCCTTTGCCCAGCTCTCCTAAATGCCTTTTCTCCTGGTAGTAAGTGTTTTGGCAGAAAAAAACACTTGATGCATGTAAATGTGTTTAAACCCATTTAGGTGCATAAAGCTCTTGGGCATTGATTCATTTCATTTGCCAGAATGTTTAGATGCATTTACTCATGTCAAGCATTTTTTTTCCTGCCTGCTGTGTGGGTTTTTTTCTAACCTCAAAATGGTTATGTGTGGACACATAGGCTAACATGGGGATGCCAGGCACCCCTAAAAGCAACATTTTTAACTCTCAGTGTGCAGGCCTTAAAGTTAAAAGTAGGGATTTTTTTTTGTTTTTGTTTTTTTACCATTTAGTTAGCCAGGACATGTTAGAACTCTTACCTTGTACATTCTGTTCACAAAGCACAGAATAGGTTATAAAGCCAGAATAAACCTTTGTGTTTGATTAGGTTTACCTCCAGTCATAATGTACTGGTTCTGAAACGCTGAAAAATTGCAAAAATCTCCTGAATCTCCATGTGGCTGTGTCCTTTCAGCCTGGCACAGAATTTAGTGATTTCATTCAATCCTTTTCTGCAGAAGTACATTTTCTCATGTATTTGATTTCATTTGTATCCTGGTGTTTATGCAGCTGGACCCTGCACTGATCATGAGCTGATAACTCTACATTATTATTTTGTGGTTCTAGAGCTGCGAATTAGGCGCCAGAATTCTTCTGATAGCATCTCCAGCCTAAATAGCATTTCCAGTCACTGCAGTGCCGGAAGTGTCAAGGACAGTGATGCCAAAAAGAAGAAGAAGAAGAGCTGGGTAAGCTGTTTCTTGAGATAACATATAAAGAATATAAAACATTTAGGGCTAATGCATGTCTTATGTTATCAAAACACATGTGCAAAAGGGTTCCAAAACATTATACATCTCAAACTCTTCCAGTGTTAATATAACATTAAATACTTTATGTTGTCCGCTGCTATGAATGTTTTAGAGACTGAACATATTGGATACAACACACAGTTGGATGGACTGATTTTTTTAAAGGCAGTTAAAGACCTAAATTTGTCAGAACTTGAGACCACCTTCACTCTGTTGAATGTACACCTAATAATTATCATTCAGAAAACTGATCAATACAATTTAAATCAATACAATTAATACAATACAGTCAATACAATTAAATGTCCTGGAGCATGTCAGTTCTGGATAACCGCTAGTTAGATCATTCATGGCTTTTCACAGAAAACAACATTGACAAAAAGACAAAAAGACACAGAACTCTCAGAAAGATATTCTGGACATTAGTGAGGTTTTGGGTAAATTCAACTATGTCTGAGACAGTCTGGAAAATACACATTACAGGAATTTTGTAAAATTAATTTTTTAAAGGAAATATGAAAGCTGTATGCTTGATAACAGTATCCCTGCAACATTTTTTATTGTTATATAAATTGTTTTATTTCAGATCTGCTATACATTTTCATATTTTGATACTTGACAGTGTCTGGAATTAGAATTAAAGTGGTTGTAAGCCTCACATATACCCATTGAAGTGACTGGCTGCAGGTGATACACAGGGAAGAAACAAATCCTCCTGCATAAGTTGTACTTGTTTATCTGTAGCCCACTCTTCTCTGCAGCTGTTCAAAGTGCAGAATTTACACAGCTTGTTTGCAATTTTAGAAAGCAGGGGTGGGGAGCTGAAGTTACACTCTGCAGAGCTAAGTGAGAGTTGATTGGAGCCAAATGACACACCCTCCTTCACACAGCACACGGGAACACAGCTAGGGCTGTCGATCACACACTGTGTGCTGTAGCCGTCTCCTTTTTTTCTCCTGGTGTCAGGAAATCTTGTCAGAAATTGCTCATTCAGATGAGGAACATGGCAGCAGAGACATGACACTTAGTGCTCTGGGTTGAGACAAACACTCTATCGAGGCATGTGATTTGTGGTTTACAACCACTTTAATTATTTTTTTTTTTCTTATTTGCTGAATGGGTCCATATATTATGTTAGATTCTACTTTAACTCATTTTTTACAGCTGCGTAGCTCTTTTAATAAAGCATTCAGCATGAAGAAGGGACCCAAGTCAGCTAATTCTTATTCTGATATTGAAGAAACAGCTACTCCCGATTCATCTGCGCCAACCTCCCCGAAACAGCAGCAAGGACCTCAAGGTCCACCGTCACCTTCAATACTCTCATCACCATCCTCTTCTGTGTATGTATCTCTCCTATGGTTTGGTTTTGTATAAGAAATTATTGTCTCTTTATTGCAAAGGCCATTTGAATAGTTGTGGAGCATTTAGAAAGCACTAGAAATGCAAACATTTTTATATTATTTTGCTGACTCCGTGTGTCCATGTATATTCTGGTTCTGTATAGTTTATGTCATAACTAAACTGAGTGAAGTCAGTTAACTGTTCTTTCTATGTAGATTCAGCTAAAATTTCTTTCTTTCTTTGTAGCATATTTGAGACTCAAGAAGGGGAAGAACCAGAAAAGAGGGAAGTGTCAGAATTACGTTCAGAATTGTGGGAAAAAGAGATGAAGTTAACTGACATTCGATTGGAAGCACTTAACTCTGCTCATCAGCTGGAGCAACTACGGGAAACTATGCACAATATGCAGGTAATACAAAGGGCCTGTAAGTAGCCTTGTTTATAAAGACTGGAAAGTACTGTTTATAGCAGTGTAGCATGTTCTCAAATTGTTCTAGTGAGCATCAAATTAGTTGCTGCAAGGTTGCTAAGGTTACACCATTGCTTTTCTTTACCTTTGGAAATAAGCTGCTATGTGCATAAGTGTATTTGACATCATATTACCAGATGTCTGTTCCATAATATGCTATTAAGCATTATTAGTGATTTTTTTGCAAAATGTTGTTATTGTGGATGCAGTATGGTTTAAACTGATTTTGTTTTAAAGTGTATTTCTGGTCAAAAAAGCATAAACAGTGCATCTGATAATACAGACACATTTCCCTGTGTTGTCTTATAACAAATAGTGAGCTCCTAACTTCCTGCAGTTAGCTCTCAATGCTGAACTGAAATGTTTAGCAGCGTTGTTAGTCCTGCCTGAGTTTCAACTAGAACACTTCCCCCTCTCCTTATCTCCATAACATCCTTTTCTTTTTCTAATTTAATTTGCCCAGACCTACACTTTCATGTTGAGGTCATCTCATATATTTTAGTAATTTAGTCTGATTAAAGTGATTCGCTTAAACCTGTTTTCAAACCTTTCTCATCCAATGCAGTACCTTTACATGTGGTATGGTGCTTGGTAGTACATTGCTTTAAAGCAGCTCATTAATTTTGGCAGTTCATTTTAAATAAATGATACCATAATGTGCTAAAATGCGTGTACTGCACTGACATGCATCACTGCAAGGCATAGGCATATAGACAGTGTTTAGAAAATCTGGAAATGTAATTTTTACCTTGTTGTTCTAAAATACATAGCCATATTTCTGACCTCTGATTTCTGATCTGCACCATTGCACCACATGGAAATGATCAGAAATATATAAAATGTCCCTTTTTCTCCCATTCCTTCCCCCACTTTTTTTTTCTTTCCCCTCCTTCTCCCTTGTTCCTCCTAATCTTGTTTGAAAAAGTTATTCTTTATTGACAATGTATCTTTGGAGGGTTTAGTTTGATTGCAATTATTTTGCTTATTGTAAATTTTCTGCCGAGCTCTTCCAGTGGATAAACCTTCTTTTGTTCTGTTTAAAAATTGTTCATTGTTCAGTGTACGTTGTATTTACCAAGAGCTTAATAAAATGTAATATTGTAAAATACATAGCCATTCAAAATGGACAGGCAACTTCCTGTGTTATCAGGCTTTGAATAAATATGGGTAGCAATGTTCTTCCATGGTTGATTTACATGTACTGAAAATATTTTTAGTAGTGTACCCATGCAAAGGGAACACTGTTAACCCTCTTAAGTAATCATGCACACAGTCCAGTATTTTACTAACTGATATTTTGGTATATCCAGCTCAGTTTGTACACTGCTCCAAAGAAAGCATTTGTGTTCATTGACCCTCAAAATAGTACCAAGCTTTCCTCTTCGTGTTACACTGTGTTATATAACATATCTAAGTGGCAGTTTACACTTTTTTTCTAAATGAACATGTTTAAATATCTTTTTAGCTTGAAGTTGACCTTTTGAAGGCAGAAAATGACCGTCTGAAAGTACCACCCACCTCAGTAACTGCAAGTAACACATCATCTTGCCCATCCCCAAGGCGTTCTTTAGCTTTGACTCTCACGCAATCTCTAGGAATTCCTCCATCGTCAGATACAGGTAGGGAGATGTCATCAGCAACTTTGTAAGAACAGCAATATTAGACTTTCCTTTTCAGATGGAAAGCCAATCTGAAAGGTTGGACATTTTCTGCATTTGTCAGTGGGCAGAGTGGTATGGAGCTGCTGCAAGTTAGAGATAGATATGCATGAGTCTGAAATAAAGAACTTTGGCTTGCGTTTATCTATCCTCCACCATATGTGTTTACTTACATTAATAATAACAGTTTGTGATAGTAAATATGTAATGGTCACACATGATTATGGGTATTAAGGCAAATGAGACATGAACCACGAGTTCATACCTGCTTTGACCTATTTTGATCATCTACAATACTCAGTATATGTGCTGTGAATTATTCCTTTTCTTTTCTCCATGGATGTATAGTTTGAGATTCCCACTGGTCGTTTTACATTGGGCTAGAAATAGGCCATGCATGGTCTCTGGTTCTTGCTACCATAATTTAGTTTGAAACAACCAAATGTTAATCAATAGAAAGTGCTCCACTTTTGTGTCTGCTTCATCAGAAGATTAGGCTTTATATCTGGTCTACTAACATTAACTCCTTAAGCAGTTACATTTTAGTCAATATTCCAAGGTACCATTAGTTGTGGAAAGTTCAGTTCCACTTCTATGATGAATAGTAGTACATTGCTTGTTAATGGTTGCAATGGGGTTGATTTACTAAAACTGGAGAGTGCAGAATCTGGTGCAGCTGTACATGGTAGAAAATCAGCGTCTAACTTCAGCTTGTTCAACTAAGCGTTGACCAAATAAAACCTGGAAGCTGATTGGTTTCTCTGCAGAGCTGCACCAAATTTTGCACTCTACAGCTTTAGTAAATCAACCCGTGTGTTTCAGATGTGTAAGACAAGCACTTTAAAAAGCTTGTATGTGCTTGCTATCATACTAACCCATAAGCGCTCACCTGTTGTAAGCAATTCTTAGATTATTTGCATTGCTTATATACATTAACAAACAATTCCACATCCGAACATCACATCAAAAGCAAGCCTTTTATTCTCACTTTTATCTCCTTCATAAAAACTCTGGATTGTCTGTCTATAGGCTGACAAAAATAAATTCTACACGAATAATGAAATTGTGATGAATCTTTTTCAGATCTTTCTCCAATGGATAGTATAAATGGGTCTCTTCAGAGGGAAGTGACATTGCGTGCTGTTATAAGAGTTCCCCCACAGCATATTATTAAAGGGGTACGTTTGTATGGTCTCTCACATTACAATCCTCAGATATGTATGATGAGGTATAAGTGCAGTCTCGTTTGTTAAAGTGCGGGGTTAAATGCCTATTTAGTCTGGTTGGTGTAAAGTAGAGGGATACTTACCTTATTCCTCACTCTGTCAGATTCTTCCCCACCAGTTCTGGGATGGACAGACAGTTCCATGAAGCTGGCCCTAAATCAGAGTCATCACATACAATGAAGGAGCTACACCAAACTTGTGATCCCCACTGCAGTCTTAAAGTGGATTTCCCTCACTTTGCATATATTTTCCCTTACTTCCTGTTGTATTAAATGTACAGTATTATATGTTACAGTATTAAATGTAGAGCTGTAGATGAAGCTACTTTAGCCATCAGTGCTAAGGAAGAGTATTAATTACTGCTGAACAGCTGTTCAAAAAGTTATCTGCCACACAAATAGTGTGTTGCTTTCAGGGAGTCAGCTAAGTCATAGACTTGTGTTGTAAGAGGAATAGTAAAGCACAACCACTATGTAGCACTGTAGATCCGAAGGCAGTGCCTGTGTATGTAATGAGCACATATGGTCTCTTTTACTTTTAGTGTAGGGTTCAGTTTTCAAACGTGTAGCTTGCAGAGAAGTAGTCCAGACTCCAAAAGTGCTTTTACAGGCTTCCTGCCTATGTCTATTCAGCATTGCATACAACACAAACAAAAGAGATGTGTCAGCACAGTCCAATGTGGAACAAACTAGTCATCCTGTTGGTTGGCTGTGAGATCACCTTTGTCTGCTAGAGCTACAGGCCTCTTACAGCACAGCTTGCATGCAGTCTTTCTATCTAAGGCATGCACACACAAAACCTAGAGATCATTTGCATTATACCCCAGATGGAAAAAGCCTGCCACCAATGGTTAACCCCCTGTTTACCTTTATAATATGTCAAGGTGGCAGGTAAACCCTGTCTATGAATCTGCTCTGGACCAAAGGGCCATTTATCACAATATAATGTATATACATAAACTAAATAATTGAAAGGGCAAGGGCACCAACCTACACAGACAAAGTGGAAACATATTTGGTTAGTTGACACTGGCAGCCCTATGTCTTCTACAACTTTTTTATGGAGGCATGTCTCTGAGACTGAAGACACATAGGATGGAATTTTTGGTTCCAAATACAACAGAAGATGGTACAGAAAATCATGTAGTTCTTTTGTCTTTCTTGAAAAGCCATACATGGTATTCTTTCAAATGTCAAGTAACGGCTCACTCTTCAGTCATTACATTCTTCAGCCATTTACAGGCCTCAAGCAGAGCATAAAAGAACAAATTCTTTCTAGCACTGTAATATTGCTTGATGCCAGTTGTACTTTGCTGTGTGGTTATTTTCAAAACAAATATATCAGTCTTTTAATCATACTGTATAAGTGAATGTAAGCAACTTATAAACAATTTGTATTCATGTTATAAAACTTCTTGCTTTAGTTTTTAATTATACATGTATAGGAGAGTGGGGGTGGAGAGAAGGACAGCCAGATTTGCCCATTACATTTTAAGACTTTGCATCATGGTTAGCAATGTTGGACAGTTAAACGTTCAAATACAGGAAATATCTTACTAAACATTATGCTGAGTGAGACATATGACTGTTCTCAGATCAATGTGAACCAGTTGAACAAATTTGTACCAGTAGTACAAATTTTCCAACAAGCTGAGAATCTTTTGTGATAGTCATTTTTAATAATCCGCATTGCTTGTTGTTGCTTCATAGGAAAGCCTTGCATAGCCCAAAGCTTAGCTTTCAATGGTGATGCTTAGCTGAGCTGTAGTTAGCAAGGGTGATAACTGTACAGTTTAATATTTAGATTTTACAAATGTGTATAGCAAGTATTCTAATGTAATATATAGTTACAGTGTTAGGCTGAAAAAAGACACAAATTCATCTACCGTATTTTTCACTCCATAAGACGCACCTAGGTTTTAGAGGAGGAAAACAAGAAAAAAAATATTCTGAACCAATGGACTGCAGACATAGTACAGGAGATGACCAGAGACTGCGAACACAGTACAGGAGATGACCAGAGACTGCGAACACAGTACAGGAGATGAACGGAGACTGCGGACACAGTACAGGAGATGACCAGAGACTGCGGACACAGTACAGGAGATGACCAGAGACTGCGGACACAGTATAGGAGATGACCAGAGACAGCGGACACAGTACAGGAGATGACCAGAGACTGTGGACACAGTACAGGAGATGACCAGAGACTGCGGACACAGTACAGGAGATGACCATAGACTGCGGACACAGTACAGGAGATGACCATAGACTGCGGACACAGTACAGGAGATGACCATAGACTGCGGACACATTACAGGAGATGACCAGAGACTGCGGACACAGTACAGGAGATGACCAGAGACTGCTGACACAGTACAGGGGATAACCAAGAGACTACAGACAGTACAGGAGATGACCAAGAGACTGCGGACCTTTGGGGAGGGAGGGAGAGCAGGTACCTGAATTTGACAGGTACCTGCTCCCACTTCCGCGAAGTTCTCCTCCCTTTAGTGTGGACAGCCGGGTGCCCACTGTGCATGCGCGAGAAGCGCTGCGCTTTGTGATTGGTCTGGAGTCTTCTGGGACCTGTCATGTGTACCAGAAGACGCCGTACCATTCACAAAGCACAGCGCTTCTTGCGCATGCGCAGTGGGCACCCGGCTGTCAGTCGAGTGCCCACACTAAAGAAGCTGGCGGCAGAAGCCTGTACAGCGCTGGACCAAGGAACAGGTAAGTTTCTGCTGCAGAGAAGAGACGAGCGGCCGGCCCGGTATTCTTACACAGCGGTGGCGGTGGGAATACCGGACCGGACGCTCCACAAGATGCACTGACATTTTGCCCCCTTTTTTGGGGGGAAAAAGTGCGTCTGATGGAGCGAAAAATACGGTAGTTAAACCAACAGAGAAAATAAATAGAGCAAATAAATAGAAAACCACAATTTATTACAGGTACTTTATATAGCACTGTTAATTTACGCAGCACTTTACATATATATTGTACATTCACATCAGTCCCTAACCCTCAAGGAGCGTACACTCTATGGTCCTTAACTCACATTCATACGTACACAAACAAGGGCCAATTTAGACAGGAGCCAATTAACCTACCAGCATATGTATTTGGACTGTGGGAGGAAACCGGATTACCCGGAGAAAACCCACGCAGGCACAATGAGAACATGCAATCTCTGGGCAGGTAGTGCTATGGTTGGGATTCAAACCAATGACCCTAGTGGTGCCAGGTGCAATTGCTAGCCACATAGCCACTGTGCTGCCCAATAAATAGAAAACCACGATGTATAGAAACCAATACCCATAACTGATCCAGAGAAAGGAAAAAAAAACCTTATAAAGCATTATCCAATTTGCTGTAGCAGGAGAAAAATAAGTAATTAATTTACCCCCAGAAGGCAATTACTGTAGATATTCCCTGAATCAACAATATATGGAGTTACTGCCTGTAAATGGTAACATCCAGTTATGGTTCTTTCATTTAGGAATGGGAACATGAAGGAAATAGGACCATAAGTCGCACTATATACAGTACATAATGTATTTCATATACTCCCCACTTTGCTAATTTCAAATGTGCTCTCACAGAAAATACAGCATAATTTCCATTAAGGCAATTTTTTTCCTAAATATAGTTGTGTATCGGACAAGCCATCCATTTGGTAGCTATACATTTGTGAATATTGAATGTTGAATGTGTTCTTTATGCACTGCTTTAAAGACTAAGTTCACCTTTTTTTCCCTATGTACCAATATACCATTAGTGTACCTCTGCTGCAGAAAAGAATACGGTTTCTCTATATTCTAGGGCAGGCTTAACATCAGCCTTCATTTTCTCCTATAGAAAACTCCTCTATTTCTTCCTGCTATTTGTGCCTTGGAACATGAAAACTGTTAGACTAAGGAAGAACTTCAACAGCTGACCTCATTAACACACACCCTGGACCTGTCCACCCTCTCTAGGAGATTGCCCCCGCCAACCTCTGTAGTTATATGCAGACATTGTAATGAGCACCATTCTCCCTGTATACATAGCCAGTGTATTCTTCTGCTGATCAATATTTTTTTACTTTACCTTCACCATGCATAGATCATTCATTTAGCAGAGTGTTCAGAAGTTCAGGAGCGATCATATAACAGCCTATGTGGAGCAGAGCTGTAGTATTGAAAACAGGGGAAGTGTGTCTCTGGAAGTCTATAAAGTTCACCATACATTATACAATCTGATTTTACAGTTTCTTATAGATTTTCCATCAACTAGCCAGTGCAAGGCCCTATTTGATTGGATACAGAGTGATTGGATAGATAAGTTTGTCCTTCTATTATAGCTTTGCCAAATCTACAGGAGAATGTAGAGAGACTGACCACCTTTTATACACCTAAAATGAACTAGTCATGCTTTCAGTGCCATTAATTGTTAGTGGTACTGCAAACGCAGAAGCAAACACGTATTTTGCTGTGTGAAAAAAATGCACAACAAACACATCAAAATGCAGTACAAAATGTGCAAACTGCAACACGCCAAAATGTACCATGCCATGTGTGGGGCAGCCCAATAAAATAAATGGGTTGTCCTATGCATGTCATGGGAAAAACGTGTGCTCCCACTATACTAGCTGTGAATGGGGCCTGAAAGTGAAATTGGGGTGTTTACACAAGAACAGTGACAGCTGAGTGTTTCCACCCACTCTCTCCCATGCACTTGTATAAAGCTAACCATAAACTTTGCAATCGGATCATACAGTCTCTATACAACTTCCAGAACTATGGAATAGGAGGACCCTGAACAATCTGTTCAATTTGTATCTAAACAGACAGGCCCTTGCACTACACAGTTGATGGTAGATTTAAAGGTGATTGCACAATCAGATTGTACAGTGTATTGCCACCTTAAAGGAAAGTAGAAAAGTGGGTGGAAATAAGGTGACATAGTGATGAGAGAGGTCTGGTCTAGAGAGGTAAACACACCCTAGCTTGTGATGCAGTAAGGCATTGTATAATAGGATATGCAGTTTCCTGAATGGACACATGATGCTACAGGAAGTGATGGACTCAGAATGCATTTTTTTAAATTTTGAACACAGAGGTGCAGATTCAAAGCTTCTTTTGATTAGGTAATTGAGAGATAAGCAAATTGGGATGGCTTGGACAGAAAATACATTAGAAAAGGCTTCTATTCATTATGAAAATTGAATTTCTGCCTGAAAAAGTGAACTTGCCTTTAATTTTACATGTATCATAGGTAAAATCAAAAGTCAGCTACATGTAAAGCCATGCTCTCTCTTGTATGAATATGTGTCCTTTATCAAGAAATTCCTAAGTATAAGAGAGGAAACTGTTGTAAAAAAGTTTTTTTTAGTAGTTATAACAGTAGTTATTTAGTAGTTATAAGCCTGTATAAAGGAATTTGTTCAGGCAACATCTGTGCATATGGAACACATTTGTGGGTAATGCTACATAATTTACCTAAAAGAGTGAGCTCTTTTATCTGACACTCCCTTATCTTCATCTGTAGGATCTGAAACAGCAGGAGTTCTTCTTGGGATATATAAAGATTAGTAACAAAGCAGATTGGAAAAGTCTGGATGAAGCTGTGTGCCAAACCTTTCAGGTACTTAGTAACACAATGTTTGCTTTCATTTACCTTCATTATTGCCTTCTTTTTTCCTGTCAATCCTTTTTTCTTTTTAGGACTATGTAAATCAGGTTGATCCAGGAGCTACCCTGGGCCTTGGCAAGGATTCTGTGAGTGGATACAACCTAGGACACTTATCTCGGGTTCTGGATGCACAAGCTCCTGAAATCCCTCCATCTAGAAATTTGCGAAACACCATCAATGTTATCTTACAGCTAAAAGGTTGGACAGTTGCCACCAAGGCTCAAAATGTTGTTATCTTTTATCTGTGGGCTTGTTCACACAGGTTGTTTTAAACCGTGCCATGTGGAGAGCCATGTTTTACTGGCCAGGGATGCACAGGTGTTGCATGCATCCCCATGCCTCCAGTCCCATTGCGATCTATTGGGACACAGTGGCTGCACTGACACATATGATGCTCCAAACGTGACACCTGTGTGGGTGTGGGTGCATGGCCTCGAATGCACCGAGGGTGCACAGGGCATGAATTAAAACACCCAGTGTGAATGAGTCCTATATCTGTTTCATACTAATTGGTTCCTTTCTTTTTTAAATTACCAGGTCTGAAGGAAAGATGTGTGGACCTGCTGGTGTTTGAATCACTCATCCCTAAGCCCATGCTTCAGCATTATGTTAGCCTGTTGTTGAAACATAGAAGGTTGCTGTTATCTGGTCCTAGTGGCACAGGGAAGAGTTTCCTGGCACACAGACTGGCTGAATATTTGGTGGAGAGGTCAGGGCGAGATGTTACTGATGGCATTGTTACTGCCTTCAACATGCACCAGCAGAGCTGTAAGGTTAGTGACGAAGTAATATATTTCAGATAATGTTCTCTTGAACCAATGTGCGTCTTTGTTATAACTTGAAGTGTAATTTAAGCCATTTGGCTTAAATCAGGCACCAAATTTAAATCCAGTCTGGCTCCCAGTTATCATGGGCTGTATAGTTGTATGTAGTTCAGTGAGCGCTAACGAGCGACAGCAGCTGATACACTAAAAAGGAAAACCATAAACCTTCAATAGAATATAAATGTAAGTAGTGCAGCGCTAGAAATGAAATATAAGAATATACTAATAGTGATGTATAAAATAGCACAAATGTATAACAAATATTAAAGCAACACAGTATATCCTTAAGAAATTATAGCAATGGTGGAGCTGTATCGAACACCTTCACTAATATTGTAATATAGTAGTATAACACAGTGCAAGTGATAGTCCAAAATGACTAATGGTAGTAAACCGCAATATGACTGAAAATGGTGACTTGGTAAAATCCCAGTGAAACCTATAATTCGGTGCCGTGCAGGAATAATAGGTGAATTGCACACTCGCCAGAGGCGCAATTTAAGTGCGCATTTGTGTCATATACACCAGAGGTCCCTTCAGTTGTAGATGGAGCGTGGCCTGGAATGGATGACTCCGCGATGAATGATGGAACATCTGGGGGTCCCCTTAATGAGTCTGGCTGAAAATGGGATCTGCTGATTACAGCTCTCCTCTGGGCCCTGGGATGGTCACCTGGTGGTCCTGGAGGGTTAAATGCTCGATATAGAGCAGAAAGGAGTACCCATAGTGTAGTATTTAAGTTGAACCAAAAAATGAATTTATTGAAGATTGAAACAGAAAAGACACACTTCTTAGGTACTGTAGTATAAAACAATCCTTGTGCACAAAGGATATGATAAAATTGAATACAGCATAACACTGACCAGCTGGTAAAACAGGGGGGCTGCCGGACCTCCCTGATCCGGCGGCTTGACGTCACGGCTAGCAAGGGCTTCTCCTTGACGCGCATTGCGTATCACACGTACATCATCAGAAGGGTAAGCGCTTTTTTTTTACACAATTTGCTTATAGCAAAGAATTACTTTGCTATAAGAAAGCAATAACCTGAATGACATTGATTCATTCAAGGTTTTTTTTTTTGTGCTTAGCTGTGATTTGGACACAGCTAATCACATGACATGTGCATGTGATCGCTGTGACCATTCACAGCTAGACACTAGTATACAATGGATAGCATGAATGAAGCCATTGTATGCAACTGTCACGTGACCTGCTGTGATTGGTCACAGCAGGTCACATGGTACCGGCAACGGGGCCGATACTCAGATCTGTCATCGGCCGTGTCCGAGGTACACGGCTGGTGACAGATCGCGCTGCTGCGCGGCTCTGCAAGCACGAAAACTGTGCATGTGCTGTGCAAATGGCGTCCACCCCGGAAATCTAGTGCATTTTTGCAGCCGCCAAACGGCCATTGGCCGGGTGGCAAATGGTTAACTTTTAATTTTTTCTCTCTTGTTTTTCTTTTGATAAATGTTTTCTTTGCTGTTCTTTTGGTAAAATGTTTAGGATGATGCCTACTACCTACCTAAAGAGAAGCTTTTAATTAAAACTTCACTAGGCAGCAACTGCTTTTTTTTGTTTTATTATTATGTTTACAGAAGGGCAACTTAAACTTCTGCAAGTTTCCTAATACAGAACACCAAGAAATTAATACGTGCTTGTTTAATATTATTAGGTATCCTTTTTCAGGTTCAAGCTGGTTATATGTGTCATGTAATTTTGCCCTTAATAGGATCTGCAACTATACCTCTCCAACCTGGCTAACCAGATTGACAGAGAGACTGGGCCATGTGATGTTCCATTAGTGATTTTACTGGATGATGTAGGTGAAGCTGGAGCCATCAGTGAGTTGGTGAATGGGGCCCTGACCTGCAAATACCATAAGTGGTAAGATGTACACAGCATATAATACTGTAGAATTTTTTATTTCACTTTTAACAATAGAGTATTGTGTTATCACTCAATTTATGTCAAACGTTTGGAGTTTGAGTGACAACCTTTATTGGCTAACTTATGTTATTAGATGCAAGCTTTACAGATGCCCTAGATCTCTTTGTCAGGCTTTATAAAGCCTAGCTATTCCAAGCATATTTGGATTTTCTAAAATAATTACAGAGCCAAATTAATTTATTCATTGTCCTGGAACCAGTATCTCAGAGGCCTGAGAATCTGTGAACGTTTTTTAAAAAATTCCAGGAATGGATATTTTTACATGCACATTTACATTTTACAATCACAAAAAAAGTAATTCTGTAGGCAAAAATGTTATCCAAGAAAAGAAAGAAATTCGAAAACATGCTTAGATTTATATAATTCCTAAAAATCTGAGTTAGACATAAAGAATCACCATTTTCTATACTAAAAACAATAAATGGAAAAGTAGCCTGCAGTCAGAGAATAGGGAGGCTTTCCAATGCTGACCTCAACTTCTGAAAAAGCTACTTGCTTTGCTGTCAAACTAATGGATTACAGCTGAATTCCAGGTATGAATACTTTTAGATAGTTTAATTGGTCCAACTATGCATATACCATACCTGTGGGATCCCCCTGGAAGTTGGAAATCTCTGTAGGAGGCTAATCTCCACTAGCTACTGGGTCACATGCCAAACAACTGTCCTCCTGCATTGTGAACACAATAGGTCTCCCACTCAGGCATAGGCACCAGTCAGAGATTGCTTTTTATTTTCTCAATGAATGCAAATGTTCGGAATGTAATTAAGAAGTGGCAGTCATCAGGAACAGTGGAAGTTAAAGCAAGATCTGGAAGACCAAGAAAAATATCAGACAGAACAGCTCGCAGGATTGTGAGAAAAACAATTCAAAACCCACGTTTGACTGCACGATCCCTCCAGAAAGATCTGGCAGACACTGGAGTTGTGGTACACTATTCCACTATAAAGAGATTCTTGTACAAATATGGTCTTCATGGAAGAGTCATCAGAAGAAAACCTCTTCTACGTCCTCACCACAAAAATCATCGTTTGAACTTTGCAAATGAACATATAGACAAGCCTGATGCATTTTGGAAACAAGTTCTGTGGACCGATGAGGTTAAAATTGAACTTTTTGGCCGGAATGAGCAAAGGTACGTTTGGAGAAGAAGGGGCACAGAATTTAATGAAAAGAACCTCTGTCCAACTGTTAAGCATGGGGTTGGATCAATCATGCTTTGGGGTTGTGTTGCAGCCAGTGGCACAGGGAACATCTCACAAGTAGAAGGAAAAATGGATTCAATAAAAATTTCAGCAAATTTTGGATGGTAACTTGATGCCATCTGTGAAAAAGCTGAAGTTAAAGAGAGGATGGCTTCTACAAATGGATAATGATCCTAAACACACCTCAAAATCCACGGGTGATTACATAAAGAGGCGTAAACTGAAGGTTTTGCCATGGCCTTCACAATCTCCTGACCTCAACATAATTGAAAATCTATGGATAGACCTTAAAAGAGCAGTGCATGACAGACAGCCCAGAAATATCAAAGAACTGGAAGACTTTTGTAAGGAAGAATGGGCAAAGATACCTCAAACAAGAATTGAAAGACTCTTGGCTGGCTACAAAAAAAAGCGTTTACAAGCTGTGATACTTGCCAAAGGGGGCAGTACAAGACATTAACTCTGCAGGGTGCCCAAACTTTTGCAGACGCCATTTTTTTGTTTTCTGCCATTTTGAAAGTGTAAATGATGGAAATAAAATCTAACTTTTGTTGACATATTATAAGAATGTCTAATCTGTAATTTGATGCCTTTTGGAGATTTTTCCATCTTTCCTTGGCTTCTTTATGCACATTAATACAAATTTTTAGCAGGGGTGCCCAAACTTTCGATCCCCACTGTGTGTATATATATATATATTGAAATACATTTTGAAATATATTGAATATGGCCACAATTGTAGCATTTCAAATATATGGCAATATATTTGGGAAGAATATTTTTCAAATATATTTTTCTTCCATGTGGGTGGTTTAACACCATGATTAGTTGTTTAGAAACCACTTTGTTCAGTAATTGCCAGCCTGCTTACTATTAATGGGAGAGACACAAATCATTACTGATTCTCTCTTCATGAGTTCTCTAAATAAATAACGTGGCGACGGACATGTGTTCTGAACCCCTGAAGAGATCAAAATTATACATTCAAAATTAACAGGGGATCAAATACCTATTTCCTTCACTGTATAAACAGTATATGCTGTGGGGTGGAGTAGAGGGGTGAAGGAGAGAGGACACAACTGTCAGAAGAAGTGGTGGAGAGTGCATGTTACAGAGAGGACGGAGAGCTGAATAGGGAAGCAAGATCACCTGTAGCCTCTTTGGTGTTTTTCAAAGTAGTTTTCTGTGTTTTTTCACTTCGAGCAATCTCAAAAGTGCAGAGCCTGAAGTGCTCCCACTTATATAAACCGCACTTATAGAAAGAAACCCAGCAAATGTGCACCCCCAGCAAACGTGTATATGAATGGTGTATTCATAGTTACATTGGTGCAAGATGTAAAAATATGTATATCAGTTTTTAAGTTTAAAGGCAGAAGGTTTTTTACCTTCATGCATTATATGCGTGAAGGTAAAACAATTTCTGGATGCAGCTCCCCAGCCCCCCCTTATTCTTACCTGAGCCCCATCTCAATCCAGCAATGTGCAAGTGAGTAGTGCCTCTCTCTCTCTCCTCATTGGCTCACACAGCAGCGGGACCCATTGTCTCCTGCTGCTTTTAATCACAGTCAGTGAGCCAATGAGGAGAGATTGATAGGGGTGGGGCTGAGATTCACAGGAGCGTGACTCGGGAGCAAGCCTGCTCACGTGTCCCCAAAGCAAGTGGCTTGCTATGAGGAGCCAGAAACACAACAGAAGATGCAAAAAGAAGAGGATCGGGGCTGCTCTGTGCAAGTAAGTATAACATGTTTGTTATTTTTTTTATTACAACCTTTAGAAACACTTTAACTGAATCTTGCCCAAAGGATTTTGTCACTTCCGGTTTTAGTGCTTTGTTTACCTGGCTGTTAGAGTCCAGGAATGCTGCCGGTCAGACTGATCTGCATCTGATTAGCTGCATTGGAGCACAGAGAAGAGATTTGGAGTCTAATAGACCTCAGATCCCTCCTTAAAGTGGACCTGTCATGGGCCATGCCTTCACAAGGAACGTTGTCCATCCCTTGTGAAAGCACTAAAGTTTATAAAAAAAAAACAGTAAAAAAATTAAAGTTTCAAATAAAATAAAAGAATTAAAATATTTGTAAAAAAATGAAAGCGCCCCCCCCCCAGCCCAAGACCCCCCCCCCCCCCCGTGCTTACGCGCAAATGTGAACACATACGTAAGGCCGGCATGCATATGTAAACAGTGATCGCACGACTTATGTGAGATATCATCGCAAACGTCAGAGTAAGAGTAATAATTTTAGCTCCAGATCTCCTGTGTAAATCTAAACTGGCAACCTGTAAAGGCTTTTAAAGCGTCGCCTTTGGAGATTTTTAGGTACGATAGTTTGGCGCCATTCCATGGGCGTACGCAATTTTAAAGTGTGACATGTTAGGCATCTATTTACTTGGTGTAACATTATATTTTAACAAAATATTAGGTATTATATTGTGTCTCTGTGTAAAGCAATTCATTAAAGTGTATTTTTCACAAAATAAATTGCGTTTGAAAAACCGCTGCGAAAATACCATGCAAGATAAAAAAATTGCAGCACCCACCATTTTATTCTCTAGGGCCTCTGCAAAAAAAATATATATAATGTTTGGGGGTTCTAAGTCATTTTCTAGCAAAAAAAATGCTGATCTTTATATGTAGGAGAGATGTGTCTGAATAGGCCAGGGCAGGAAGTGGTTAAGCCATTTGATTAGCTTGAGAAAGGCAAGTTGCTCTTTCAGAACAAGAGATCATCATTGGCATTGGCATTTTTGGAATACATTGTTTCATTTACTGTCATGTTTTTAGATTTTTATGAATGATTTGAATCTAAGCAGCTTTCCCCACCTTTTTTCTTTCCTTTGATTTGGAGACACTAACCTTTATTTTATGTCCTATGACAGAACAAGAATAAAAACCAAACCACTAAACTAAGACATGGCATTGCGCATTAAAACTGAAGAAAAGCTAATGGAAACCACCCAAATGCCTGTGTCCAATTTCTAAACTCTACCAAACTGTAATGTAAACCTGTTAGTTGACATGGGAAGCACATTTTGCCCTTTTTTATGCATACGGCAAGCATTTTGTTTGCATGAGAGTTATCTTCTTTTGCAATCTCAGTTTACATATTTGATGAATGAGTCCCCTGTCAACTTATGTCAAGAGTTATACTTTTGAACTTATGTTTCCTAGTTTTTAGTTTCATTTTTCTTTATCATTGTAGGGTAGTACTATTGAGTATGCTGTGTCAATGATATTATAATATATAGGTCTGTAATAAGTTCAGTTAAAATGTATTCTGGCTGAAGTATTTTCAATCTGATTTATTTATAGTAATTTTCCATTGAAACCCTAATTTCTACCTAGTTCGTATTTCTTGTTTTCTGTTTAGTGCCAGTTGCATTATTAGGTATTGTTGGATACGAGTTTTATAAAAACTACCATTATGATGTTTCCTTGTGTGTCTCCTGGGTAATGACCATCATTTTTCCATGTTTATTTGCCTTTCCTCTCTGACGCCATTACATTATCTACATCCTGGCAGGCTGTAATCTATAAAGTTTTATTTCCCTTTTATTGACATTTTGAGCATTGATTATGATGGTCAATATGGCAGAAGATAGAAAATACAGTAATGTAATTAATAAATTTACACTGAATCTCAATTATGAAGAGTTTTTAAAGTGGAATTAAACTCCAATATATATATATATATATATATATATATATATATATATATATATATATAATTTTTTTATTTATTTTTTTTAATGACCCCCCAGGAGGTTTGTGCCATGGTGTGCTAATATGCACTACATATTAGCACATTATGGCAGACTTACCTGTCAAATGAAGCCCTCCAGCGCTGTGCTGTCAGCACTCAGACTCTTCCGTCTTCTCCTGGACTTTTTCCAGGTTTGCTCTATGTGGCCACTGAAACGACCAGGCCATGATGACATCACGCTCATGCATGGACATGGAAGTCCCTTCATCACCACGCAGAGCAGTGCCGTAATGTACTCGCAGGCACAACTCGTGTGTTCATTACCACTGACAGTCTGGGAGAAGCATTTATGTTAGAAGAAAACTGCCTGTCTGCCTAAAAAAAAAATTGCTTTATTTCCACTTTAACTTTTTCTTGACTTGGGATCATCCATACCTAGATGCCTGACCAAATATGGCAGTTACAGTCTTTTTGATGTAGACATACAGTATATGTCTTTAATTCAGTACAGTTTTAAAAACTACCATACTTTAGTATAAGCTGACAAATCAGAAAAAAAAGTGGATGACCACTGTAAGAAACAGCACTGTGAATACAAATGTGATTTCAGCACAGGGCATCATGCCAAGAGACAATTTTGTACAGATGGCATGCAGGACGGGTTTAAAAGTGGTTTGTGCCAACAGTATCACTTTTTCTTACTTTGACTTCTTAATATGGTGAATTATAATAGACTACATATTGAAGTTCATTGAATGAAATTTATTAGTTGATTTTTATTTATTTTCATGTCTTTATATGCAGCCCTTACGTCATTGGAACAACCAATCAGCCGGTGAAAATGACCCCAAACCATGGTTTGCACCTAAGCTTTAGGTAAACTGCAATTGTTGTGGATTAAAAATTGGAGGGCTATAATGAATACTCTAAATATGATATAATGCTTTTTATGTCATGGGGTAGAGGCTGACATTGCAACCTTGTATCATCTCACAGGATGCTAACTTTCTCCAATAATGTGGAGCCAGCGAATGGATTCTTAGGTCGGTATTTGCGTCGGAAGCTACTGGAGTCTGAAGGCAGCATTGGGACTGGACATGGCGAGTTACTCAGGGTTCTTGACTGGGTGCCTCGTTTGTGGTACCATCTGCACACCTTTCTGGAAAAGCACAGTACCCCAGACTTCCTCATAGGTACATGGAACACATATGTCAGTTTAGATCTGATTGTGTAAAATTTCTGGTAGGATAATATAGGACCTTCTGGTAGGAAACTTCTTGTAGCATATTGTGTGTCTTTTCTGGGCCACATATCAGTGTACGTAGTACAATGTTTACTTCCGGTTTGGTGTTATTGTATGTTGTGGTTTTGTGTTTCATTTATCCTGAAGAGACACCAGGGTCAATCTTGCACATACTTTTTTTTCTCAATAATACCTTTCTCAAAAATAGATTGATTTTTTTTTCTAAATATAAGTGGAAATGTTACATAGTTACATAGCTAGCCCAGCTGAAAAAAGACAAAAGTCCATCCAGTTCAACCATAGGAAAAAAAATAATCCTATACCCAAAGTTAATCCAGAGGAAGGCAAAAAAAGCCCCAAAGCACGATTAAATTTGCACCTGCTGGTAAAAAAAATTCCTTCCTGGTCCCCCGAGAGGCAATCAGATATTCCCTGGATCAACTTTACCTATAAATGTTAGTATCCAGTTATATTGTGTGTATCTAAGAAAGAAGCAATCCACTGAGCTGGCCAGAACCAACTCTTGAGGGAGTCTATTCCACATTTTCACAGCTCTCACTGTGAAGAAACCTTTTCGTGTTTGAAGATGAAATTTCTTTTCCTCCAGATGTAAAGAGTGCCCCTTGTCCTCCGTGTTGACCTCAGGGTGAATAGCTCTACATTGAGTTCACTATATGAACCACTGATTTATTTATACATGTTAATCATATCCCCCCTTAATCTCCTCTTCTCAAGAGAGAATACATTTAGTTCCTCTAATCTTTCCTCATAGCTGATCTCCTCCATGCCTCTTATCAGTTTAGTTGCCCTGCTCAGTACTTTCTCAAGTTTCCCAATGTTCTTTTTGTGAATTGGTGCCCAAAACTGAACTGCATATTGCAGATCAGGTGTTACTAATGATTTGTACAGGGGTAATATGATATCTCTCTCTCTGGAGTCTATACTTCTTTTAATACAAGAGAGGATTTTGCTCGCTTTAGAAACCGCAGCTTGGCATTGCATGCCATTATTAAGCTTGTGATCTACCAGAACCCCCAGATCCTTCTCCACCATTGATTCTCCCAGTTGTACTCCCCCTAGTATGTATGATGCATGCATATTCTTAGCCCCCAAGTGCATAACCTTATATTTATCAACATTAAATCTCATTTGCCACATAGTTGTCCAATTAAACAGTAGTGCATTGAGGTTGGCTTGTATGTTGAAGACATCCTTTTAGGACGTTATTCCACTGCACAGCTTGGTGTCATCTGCAAAGACTGAAATTAGATTTTTAATCTCAGACCCTATTTATAAATACATTCAAAAGTAAGGGTCCCAACACTGAAACCTGGGGTACACCACAGATGACCCCAGACCATTCAGAGTATGAATCACTAACCACTACTCTCTGAATACGATCTTTTAGGAAGTTTTCTATCCATTTACATATGGATTTTTCCAAGCCCGTAGACTTTACCTTACACATTTGCCGTGTGTGGGGAACTGTGTCAAACGCTTTTGCAAAATTCAAGTATACAACGTCCACCGCCACCCCTCTGTCCAAGGTTTTGCTCACCCCCTCATAAAAAGAAGTCAGATTTGTTTGACAACTTCTGTCTTTCATGAATCCATGCTGTCTGTTGCTTAAAATATTTTTTCTCAGCAAGAACTCATCTATGTGGTCTTATTAAACTCTCCAGTATCTTCCCAACTATAGAAGTTAAACTTCTTATACACAGGTCTATAATTACTTGGTAAAGATTTTGACCCCTTTTTAAATATTGGCACCACATTGGCCTTACACCAATCCAGTGGTACTATGCCAGTCATGAAAGAGTCCCTAAAAATTAGAAACAATGGCTTTGAAATGACAGAGCTCAATTCTTTAAGGACCCGGGGGTGTATGCCATCCGGTCCAAGTGCTTTATTCACCTTTATACTGTCTAAATATTTTTGTATCATATCAATTGTGAGAGCCATTTTGGATCATCTGGAGCTTTGTCAATACCATGCCCATTATGGACAAGAGCTCCCCCATGCTCCTTTGTATACACAGAGCTGAAGAAGGTATTAAATAAATTTGCCTTCTCTTTATCCCCAATCACCCACTCTAGATTATTTTGTAAAGGGCTTACATGCTTGGACCGGACCTTTTTACTATTAATATATTTGAAGACTTTTTTGGGGTCGGTCCTGCTATCTTTTGCAATCTGTCGTTCGGTTTAAATTTTTGCGGCCTTTATTTCCTTTTTGCATATTCTGTTATATTGTTTGTAATGTTTAAACGATGATAGCATTCCTTTATTTTTATATTGAATAAAAGCTCTTTTCTTATCTATAGCCTTTTTAACTTTGGCCGTAAGCCATATAGGTTTGATTTTTAGCCTTTTAAACTTGTTGCCATTGGGAATATATTTCGCAGTGTGTTTGCATACAGTCTTTTTGAAGAACTCCCATTTCTGTGTTGTGTTCATCAGTGCCAATATTCCCTCCCAGTCTAAGTCTTGGAGAGCAGCTCTGAGCCTTGGAAAATTACCTCTCTTGAAATTGAGCGTTTTTATTTTTCCCGTATGCGCTTGCTGTTTATAGCGAACAATAAATGAAATCATGTTATGGTCACTGCTACCCAGATGTTCTTTTATATGGACATTCGTAATAAGCTCTGCATGGTTTGAGATTACCCGGTCCATCAGATCATCATTCCTAGTAGGGTCCTCTATGAACTGTACCATAAAATTGTCTTGTAGTAGGTTTAAAAATGTTTGCCCTTTAACTGTTTCTGCAGTACCATTACTCCAGTCAATTTCCGGGTAGTTAAAATCCCCCATTATTTTCACTGTCCCAGCCCTTTCGATCTGTGCAAGGAGCTGAGTCTCCACCTCCTCATTAACATTGGGAGGCTTATAACAAACTCCAATGATTACCTTTGTAGTACTCACCCCCATGTGCAGTTCTACCCATAATACTTCAGCCTTATCACACTCTCCATCAGCTAGGTCCTCTTTCACACTCACTCTGAGATCACTTCTCACATAAAGACAGACATCACTACCTTTCCTATTTACTCTGTCTCTCCGAAAGAGAACATAGCCAGGAATATTATTGGCCCAGTCATGCGAAGAATGAAGCCAAAATTCAGCAATACCAATTAAATCAAAGCTCTCTTCATGCAACAAAGCTTCCAACTCACCTATTTTGCTTGACAGACTTCTGGCATTGGTGAACAAACACTTTAATTGATTGACACCTTGTTCACACGTATTTTGCATATTTTTTAGTTTCATACAAATGGTACCAATTCCACTGGCTGTTTGTAACATGGGAACCTTCTTATCTGCCATAGCCTTCCCCCCCATCTTTCCCCATTCCACCCACCAATAAGTACTGACCCCTGTCTGATCTGTCTACCCTGTTATAATCTAATTCTCCCTTCCCCCTCGATTCTAGTTTAAATAATCCTCCAGCCTTACCATAAATCTTTCCCCCAATACAGCAGACCGCCTTCCATTTAGGTACAGACCATCTCTAGCATATAGGTTGCACCCCAATGAAAAGTTAGCCCAGTGCTCTAGAAACCCAAATCCTTCCCTCTTACACCAGGTCTTCAGCCATGCATTGAGTTCTCTAATCTCCCCCTGTATTTCCTGAGTAATATTTCAGAAAATATCACCTTGGAGGTCCTTCCTTCAACTTGCAGCCTAGTTCTTTAAATTGATTCTTAAGGAGCCTCCACTTTCCATGTATTCTGTCATTGGTTCCAACATGAACCAAGACAGCTGGGTCATGTCCAGCCCCCCCCAGTAATTTATCAATCCGGTCCACCACATGCCGAACCCTGGCACCAGGGGGACAACAAACCATTCGGTTGAGGCGATCCTGGCGGCAAATTATTCTATCAGTCCTTCTGATCATATAATCCCCTACTACCACCAGCTGTCTAGGGCTTCCTGCACTACCCTAACCACCCCTCCCAGATGGTTTACCCTCCTGGCTGTTAGGGATAGCTGTGACATCCAGGGCTGCCACCCCTGAACTTGCCACCCCCACATCTTCACCCAACTTGGCAAATATGTTTGGGTGCTCAAACCCAGGGCCAGCCTTCCTTTTCTGTTAGCCCCTACCACTCCCTCTCGTTACAGTAACCCATCTTCCTACCTGATTAGCCCATCTGCCCTCCACATCAATCCCAGTAGCTACCTGCTCAAAGAGCAGAAGCCCCCTTTCAAGGTTGATAGTTCTGCCCAGTGTTGCAACTTGCTCCTCCAGACCTCTAACGTGAGATTCCAGAAGGGCAAGCTGCTCACATCTGTCGCAGCGGTATCCATCCTGGAGCTGTTTCTCCATTGCTGCATACATGCGGCACACTGTGCACCCTCAACCCTGCTAGCACTCATATCCCAGTTACAAAATTAACAGGAAAGATCAGTTGTCACTTACAGGTTAGTAGACTCCTGTTATAAGCTGCTGTTTTCTTTTTTTTAAATCCACTTATCAAAGGTCCGGCAAGCAAAATACAGGCCAGCTCAAAAAATGAGCAAGCTCAGAGTGAGCTCTACAGCAAGTTTTATATATAACCTGTATCACCTGTGACCAGTTAACCCCTCCCCTTAATTAGCAAAGGGAAGGAAGACAAGGAAAGGAAGAGAAAAAATGCTATTTAAAAAGTGACAGAAAAGGGATTTACAAAAGTAAAAGCATTTAGCAAGACCCAAAGAAGAAAATAAAACAAATACAAGCACCAGCAGTCAAAAGTAAAACTTTTTCAAATTTCCCACTCTTTAGTGATCAGCCAGCATAAAATGCCAGATGTAGCTGGTGCACTTGTCTGGCTGTGGATATTCTCCAAAATGTTTGTGTGATACTCTAAAGATGAATTGCGGACAAATACAAAAAACTTTTATTAAAGCAGAACTGTGGGAAAAAATTTCCCATGCAGTGGTGCTGTGCCCACCTCATGGGTTAACTACT